AATTTTCTAGAGTAATCCACTGAACTAGATAAAGAACAACATCCTCCTAACATGACCATTCTACACTAGCAGTGATGCTACACTATAAACCAGCTTATTAGTCAATTTAAATGGACAAAGCGAGGCTGCTGTGCTGCGTATGTAGTCAGCTATATATTCACGGTTTCAATGATGCTTTAGGCGACAGAACAAACAGTTTTTTCAGTCTTATCTTAATGAATTAGAATCCACATTGTTTATTATAAACTGATCATTCTGCTGTATTTATCACATCTTCCCAGCTTGCAAGGTTAAGATAGATTTTGCTTTGACGATACTTGTACCAGTCCTTTTCTAAGATTATTAATGTGCATTGTTTCCATGTAGTATGGTGTTAGCTTTTCCTGTGAGGGAATCATTGCATTCAAAAATATTTCGGCGATGTCACTGGACAAAGATTTTGACATTAAGATATTCAGACTGATAGCTGGTGTCATGTGCCATGTGTTGTGTTTTAGTTTTTTGATGTCATTATCTTTCTAGTAAGACTTATTATTATTCAGTTCTGGTTCTTATTTAGTTTTTATAGAGTTTATAGATCATGGGTAGCATTAGGATAGAGCTCAGAGGTCTGGGTAAGTTGTACTGGACTGAATTTACAGGCTTATTCTGTTAGAGAGTTTGCCCTCCTTCCTTTTCTGTCTGTGTGTTTGTTTTTTTGTGGACAGTCATAGTAGGTTCAGACTATGAGGTGTTCAGACTTTTAAGGTTTTGGAGGTAAAGATTTATCTTTGCATTCTGACCAATCTCATATTTGTCAGCATGAAATTGATAAAAGAAGAGTATCAAGTAATGTTGAAGTGCAAACACTTTACATCATTAAATCCAATAAAGGATCTAATCCTCATGGTGCTCCTCAGTTGAACCTGAGTGAACATTGAAAACAAAAATGTCAAAAACCATTGCTATTCTCTACAAAACAAAGCATGTCCTGAATAAAAAATCATTATACACACTTTATTGTACTCTGTTGCTTCCATATACAACTTACTGTCTGGAAATATGGGGTAATGCATATAAAACAAATACTCTTCC